TGGGTACCGGTCTAGAACGGTCTGTTCCGCCCCAACGCAGCCGAGGGGGCTAGTAGTGGGGGGAAAACCCAATTGAGATGAGGGGGTTGATCGCATTGGCACCCTGGGCATCAGGAAATTTTTCTTCCGCATCTCGGGAGAAAGGGTCCCATTTGGCAGCGGCAAAAAGTCGGGGGGGTTGCCCAGGAGCACAGGGCCCAGCAGTTCATTGGGGGAAAAACGGCCACGGAGAGAGCCCACTCCACTGCACCTACCACCAGGGCCCATAGGGGGCCCTTTTGGCACGAAGGAAGTGCGTCAGCCAGTGGGGAGCGGGGCAAAGTTTCCTACTCGGGGGTTTGGGTTTTTAAATTTTTTCGTAAGCCGCCCAGGAAGAAAAGACTATGTCGACTATGGGGCCAGAAAGTCAAGCGTGGGCAGGGGGCCCATGTTTGGGACACAGCGTTCTCAGCAATGCGCGTCGCCTTTTGTGGCCGGGGAAAACCGTGTAAAGATACGGGGTTCCCCTGCCCAGCCCCCCTCCTCACCCCTCCTTTACTGCTCCGCACCCGACCATCCCCCTATCAGCCACAAGGCCCCAAAACACCCTGCGGGGGGGGAGTTGTTTCCGCTCGTTCAATGCTTTTCCTGCTACTCCTCTTCACGGTTGCACAGCTTTTTGGAACCCTTTTCCAAGAGACAACATTTTGCGAGCACGCACCCACTGCAAAAGCTGAACGTCCTCCTTCCAAGTTTTTGGGGGCTGCAGTCCCTCCTTTCCAATGGGGGACTCAGCACCTTTCCCAGAAAAGATGGGTTGGCCCGCCGCGGGGGAGTGCCAAGGGCCCTCTTTCCCCGCCAAAAAGGCAGTGCCAGCCCGCATTTACATGTAGAAAGTGGGGGGCCATCTTTGAGCATGTCGGCTCTGCCAAAGTGCACGCAGCGCCGACTGTGGACTGTAACTACGGTCAGGACATACATTCATTTAGGCCCACTGGTGACGTGGTGCCGGGACAGCCGCACCCGAACTGGACCGGGCCCGCGCTTTGCCTCCCGTTTGCCCTCCTTGGTCCGCAAAGATGTCCGCCTTACCACCTCTTCTTCCGCCCGGGCCCCAGCCCCCACCCCCGTGCCAAGTCCCTTTCCCCCACCGGGGATATCACATGTGCAGGGGGGGAACGTTACCGGTTTCACCTGGTTGCCTTGGGGGAACGATCACACGGGAGGAAATCTGATGTAATGAACGAGAAAACGACAGATGGCTGTCTCCGTGCAAACTGAAAATCGGAACCATGTTGACCGACAACGGAAAGAACGTGGTGTCTGCTCTGCGGTCAAGGAAGGTTTGTGCCATGCGCTCATGCATGGCTCACGTGTTCAATCTAGTTGTCAAGCGCGTGGTTCCTAAAATCCACCGATCCCACTGCAAAGACATCCTTAAAATGTCACACGTAAACTGTGCATGCATTTCAGCCATTCCTACACCGCAAAGAAACACCCTCATTGAGCTGCAGCGGGCAGAACGAAACGGAATTCCACAGCATCGCCTGATCTGCGACGTTTTGCAACAAGGTGGGAATTCAACCCTACACATGTGTAGACCGCCTTTACGAGGCAGCGAAAGGCCATCACCGATTTCCTGATGTTACAATGTGGATAAAGGGTACTCCCCTGTGTAACTACGATGTCAGCCATTGGCAGCTCATGCGTGACACCTGCCGCTTGTTCAGGCCCTTTGAGGAGGCCACGCTATTCGTGAGTCAGCAGGACTATGGGATAAACGACGTCATTCCTCTGTTGCACGTCCTGGAACAAAGCTGTTAAATTGGCTGGTCAGGGTGCGGTGTAGACGTGGCGCACAGATCTCAACGCCACATGACCCCTGTGGGGGCAGGACAGGAAGAAGAGGAGGAGGTAGAGGAGAGACATTTGTGCTCAGGAATTTATTGAGTGAAATGGAGGTGGTTTTTCCACTCAGAACAGCGACAGGAGTGGAGGAGCAGGAGCAACTGGTAGAGGAGGAGGAGGAGGAGGAGACAGAGGACCCAGATGCACCGTGGCAGTATGCTGGTGGAGATGGAGGCAGGGAGTCCCTCGCATTCCTTGGCACAAATGGCCCATAGCATGCTCGGTTTTGCTTGCGTAGCGACAGCCGAATAATAACCATCAGACAGAGGGATGACTTTTGGGCTGTCCACCTTGTTTGGACCCCCTCGCTACCGTTCCAAAAATGGTGGCCTTTTTCACACCTGTGAGAGGGAGGCCAAAATTACGTACTATAAAAGCCACCTATGTAGTCAGTTGGTCTCTGCCTTTCTGCGCCAACGTCCATCCTCAGACACTGTGGGCCCTGTGCGCTCGCGTTCCGCTGCCATGGCAGCAGGGGAGGGGTGGGGTGGTAGGAGCAGTGGCAGCTCCACCAGCAGCGGCTGCCTCAGTCTGCAGTCGATGAGTAGCTTTCTTCACCAGCGCAGTGAGGAAACTACTAACCAGCCGCAGCAGCAGCAGCAGCATCAGGTGGACCTGGAGCAGGACCTCAAACAACAGGCTTGGGCCTACTTGGACAGCACCCTGCCAACCGAGGTAGACAATCCCCTTGACTACTGGGCAACGAAACTTGACCTTTGGCCCCAACTAGCTGAATTTGCCCTTGAAAGGCTGTCATGCCCGGCCAGTAGCGTGGCATCGGTAGCGCGTGTTTAGTGCGGCAGGAGGTATTGTAACTCCGCGGAGGACACGACTGTCCCACCCAAAGTGTGGAGAGACTCACGTTTGTGAAAATGAATCAGGCGTGGATTAGTCTGGATTTCAAACCACCAGTTCCTGACACAACTGACTAAATCCGCCATGAATCATGCCCCTGCCATGTGCCACTTTCAGGTCTCCTCACACTGCTGCTGGTTCCATTTTTGTCATAGGGTGCTGTGCAGATTACGGGCCTCCCATTGCTGCTGCTGCCAGGCCCCTAATCTGCCATGGGCCCCATGCTACCAGAGGTCCGCCTCCTCACGCTACCTGCCATTGGTCCGCAGTGTGTCATGCCATGTGCCACTTTCAGGTCTCCTCACACTGCTGCTGTGTTCCCATTTTGTCATAGGGTGCTGGCAGATTACGGGCCTCACATTGCTGCGGCCAGGCCCCTAATCTGCCATGGGCCCCTGTACCAGCCTCCTCACGCTGCTGCCAGGTCCACAGTGTCTCATGGGTCCTTGTACCCCGCCTCCCATTGCTGCTGTCTCCAACGCCACACTCTGCCATGTGCCACTTTCAGGTCTCCTCACACTGCTGGCTGGGTTCCATTTTGTCATAGGATGCTGGCAGATTACGGGCCTCACATTGCTGCTGCCAGGCCCCTAATCTGCCATGGGCCCCTGTACCGCCTCCTCACGCTGCTGCAAGGTCCACAGTGTGTCATGCCATGTGCCACTTTCAGGTCTCCTCACACTGCTGGTGTGTGTTCATTTTGTCATAGGATGCTGGCAGATTACGTGCCTCACATTGCATGCGGCCAGGCCCTAATCTGCCATGGGCCCCTGTACCGCCTCCTTCCTCATGCTGCTGCAAGGTCCACAGTGTGTCATGCCATGTGCCACTTTCAGGTCTCCTCACACTGCTGGTGTGTTTCATTTTGTCATAGGATGCTGGCAGATTACGTGCCCTCACATTGCTGCGGCCAGGCCCCTAATCTGCCATGGGCCCTTGTACCGCCTCCTCATGCTGCTGCCAGGTCCACAGTGTCTCATGGGTCCCTGTACGCCTCCCATTGCTGCTGTCCTCCATCGCCACACTCTGCCATGTGCCACTTCAGGTCTCCTCACACTGCTGGTGCTGTTTCCATTTTTTGTCATAGGGTGCTGGCAGATTACAGGCCTCCCATAGGTGCTGCCAGGCCCCAAATCTGCCATGGGCCCCCGTACCGCCTCGTCACGCTGCTGCTTGGGTCCACAGTGTGTCATGGGTCCCTGTACCGCCTCCCATTGCTGCTGTCTCCATCGCCACACTCTGCCATGTGCCACTATCAGGTCTCCTCACACTCCTGCTGTGTTTTCCATTTTATCATAGGTTGCTGGCAGATTACAGGCCTCCCATAGGTGCTGCCAGGCCCCAAATCTGCCATGGGCCCCCGTACCGCCTCGTCACGCTGCTGCTGGGTCCACAGTGTGTCATGGGTCCCTGTACCCGCCTCCCATTGCTCCCATAGCCACACTCTGCCATGTGCCACTTTCAGGTCTCCTCACACTCCTGCTGTTTTCCATTTTTGTCATAGGGTTGCTGGCAGATTTATACGGGCCTCCCATAGGTGCTGCCAGGCCCCAAATCTGCCATGGGCCCCCGGACCACCTTCGTCACGCTGCTGCTGGGGTCCACAGTGTGTCATGGGTCCCCTGTACCAGGCCTACCCGCCTGCCCATTGCTCCCACTCTGCCATGTGCCACTTTCAGGTCTCCTCACACTCCAACCCTGCATGGGCAGATCTACGGGACCCCCATAGTCTGCGCCAGAGGCCTACATGTACCGCCTCCCATGCTGCTGCAGCCAAGGCCCCAAATTCTGCCATGGTTTCCTCGTATCAACCCCTTATGGCCACACGCTGCTAGGACCCGCATTAGGAAGTCTCCCTCTGGCTATTTTGGCAATGGCAGGGTGCCAGGCAGACGTACCCTAAGTGTTTCCCATAGCTACAGGGTCCCCTGTACCGGCCTCCCATTCTCAGCCTCCCATAGCCACACCTCAGTCCATGTGCCACTTTCAGGTCTCCACACAAAAGTGCTGGTGTTTCCATTTTATCATAGGTATGCTGGGCAGATTACAGGCCTCCCATTAGCTGCTGCCCAGGCCCCAAATCTGCCATGGGCCCCCGGGTGACCGCCTCCTCCCGATTCTTCACGCTGCTGCCAGGGTCCACCAGTGTGTCATGGGTCCCTGTACCGCCTCCCATTGCTGCTGTCTCCATCGCCACACTCTGCCATGTGCCACTTTCAGGTCTCCTCACACTCCTGCTGGTTTCCATTTTTATCATAGGTTGCTGGCAGATTACAGGCCTCCCATAGGTGCTGCCAGCCCCAAATCTGCCATGGGCCCCCCGTACCGCCTCGTCACGCTGCTGCTGGGTCCCACAGTGTGTCATGGGTCCCTGTACCGCCTCCCCCATTGCTCCCACTCTGCCATGTGCCACTTTCAGGTCTCCTCACACTCCTGCTGGTTTCCATTTTGTCATAGGTTGCTGGCAGATTACAGGCCTCCCATAGGTGCTGCCAGGCCCCAAATCTGCCATGGGCCCCCGAACCGCCTCGTCACGCTGCTGCTGGGTCCACAGTGTGTCATGGGTCCCTGTACCGCCTCCCATTGCTCCACTCTGCCATGTGCCACTTTCAGGTCTCCTCACACTCCTGCTGGTTTCCATTTGTCATAGGTTGCTGGCAGATTACAGGCCTCCCATAGGTGCTGCCAGGCCCCAAATCTGCCATGGGCCCCCGGACCGCCTCGTCACGCTGCTGCTGTGGGTCCACAGTGTGTCATGGGTCCCTGTACCGCCTCCCATTGCTCCCACTCTGCCATGTGCCACTTTCAGGTCTCCTCACACTCCTGCTGGTTTCCATTTTGTCATAGGTTGCTGGCAGATTACAGGCCTCCCATAGGTGCTGCCAGGCCCAAATCTGCCATGGGCCCCCGGACCGCCTCATCACGCTGCTGCTAGGTCCACAGTGTGTGTCATGGGTCCCTGTACCCCTCCCATTGCTGCTGTCTCCATCGCCACACTCTGCCATGTGCCACTTTCAGGTCTCCTCACACTCCTGCTGGTTTCCATTTTGTCATAGGGTGCTGTATGGCCTCCCATTGCTGCTGCCTCCACCGCCACACTGTGGCTCCAAACACTGGTTTTTGGCCCCGTGACTGGCCAAATGAGTGAAGTGTGCGGTGATTCTAAGATCGACGGCAACTCATCTGCATGTCATACTGACTGACAGTATTATTTCTCTTCCCCAGCAGACTCCAAGGGCATTTAAATTAAAGGTACAGTGTTCTGCACTAATATTAAGTCTCTCTGAAGCCTAGAAACACCCTTTTTTAAGTTAAATTCACAGCGAATATATTCGACTCGAATCAAATTTTTTCCACGAATTCGCCGAATCAGTCGAATCAAATTTTTGAATACTTCGCTCATCTCTAATCATATCCTATCCACTCAAATCTTACACGTACGTTAAGACGCCTGCCGGCGATCCCTCTGTGCGCGCCGACGCCTGCCGGCGATCCCTCTGTGCGCGCCGACGCCTGCCGGCGATCCCTCTGTGCGCGCCGACGCCTGCCGGCGATCCCTCTGTGCGCGCCGACGCCTGCCGGCGATCCCTCTGTGCGCGCCGACGCCTGCCGGCGATCCCTCTGTGCGCGCCGACGCCTGCCGGCGATCCCTCTGTGCGCGCCGACGCCTGCCGGCGATCCCTCTGTGCGCGCCGACGCCTGCCGGCGATCCCTCTGTGCGCGCCGACGCCTGCCGATTGACCGCTGACTTCCTGACTTGCTCTGCACTGCTGGCTGCACTGGTGATAATGTTGGAAGCTGCCAGCCTGAAGCTGCCACTGTTTTGCTGCTATTTCCCGAAGACCGAGCTGCTCTCTCCTCACACTTACTTGCTGAAGGAGGAAGGCCTTTCATTTTACCATCAACAAATGCGGCTCCAGCATGTGGTGCAAATCAGCCTGTGCGCCAGATATGAAAAAATTCCCTCTATTCTACACCTAGCAGGAACTTACTACAGACGGCCAGAGGCTGCCCGACACCGTACGGGAGACGGCCAGAGGCTGCCGACACCGTACGGGAGACGGCCAGAGGCTGCCGACACCGTACGGGAGACGGCCAGAGGCTGCCGACACCGTACGGGAGACGGCCAGAGGCTGCCGACACCGTACGGGAGACGGCCAGAGGCTGCCGACACCGTACGGGAGACGGCCAGAGGCTGCCGACACCGTACGGGAGACGGCCAGGAGGCTGCCGACACCGTACGGGAGACGGCCAGAGGCTGCCGACACCGTACGGGAGACGGCCAGAGGCTGCCGACACCGTACGGGAGACGGCCAGAGGCTGCCGACACCAATCTTCCCATCTTATAGAACAGACAAGTGGTGAAGAGCCGTGCAGGACAGTAAACAGTTGATGAATCTGAAGCTGCCAGGCAGAACTAGCAGTAAATCCTCCAAAGCCACCATCCAACCATGTGTCCGGCGATGGTCCCGGGTCCCCGGTGATGGCGGCCATCTTCTCGGTGTGTTCAGGTGCCGGTTAGATTCGGCAGTTCTAAAAGAAGAGTGCAGAGTAAGAGAAGACAGAGGGGGGGTTGTATGTGTCCGTGTGAGCTGCACGCCGTCTGAACACGGAGAAGATCGGCCGCCATTACAGGTGACCAGTGACACTGTAGTTTCTGATCGGACCTTCTGGCTCCAGGGCTTCAGGTTTGTGTCTCCCCTCCCGGGGCCCCCATTCAGCACAATTTTTCAGCTTTGACACGTTTGGTATCTATTTGCTCATCACATCATCTTTTCTATCTTCCCAACAATGAGGAGAAATATTATGTTGGTGTCACTAAGATTCATTGTATTTGTTCCTGGAAATACGCATTTGATGAACAGCTGAGCAAATATTGTGCGGCGTGAAAGATTGCATCAGCCGCCATTGTTTACTATAAATGACTGGAAACCCACCAATCAGCTCTCTATTCTCTGAAAGCAGAGACCCTGAAGAATGAAGAGGCAGCAGTCGCACTCTTTATGGCGCACAATATTTGCTTGGCTATTTCATCAAACCCAAATTTTCACGAAAAAAAAAAAAAAAAAACACTGAAATGATTTTAGTGCAAACACAATAAAATCCCCAATTTGTTGGTGAAATATAAAAGATGGGGCTGCATGGAGTAAGTAGATACCAAACATGTCCATCCTTAGAACTGCATCCCGCCTGGGAAATCACACAAATCTATGGCCTCCAAACATTCACCACAAATCACCCTTTAAAAGGCCTATTATATTATATTTATAAGTCTATTGGCCCCCCCACTGTCCCCCCCCACTGATTAGCTGCAGCAGCCAGGAAATTATAGCTGTGATCCTGGAAGTGATACAAGTGACTTTGGGGTTTCATTACCCACAGAAGGATCAGGGAGAGGATGTTCCCCAATCACCTCCTGCTCCCACTGTAAGAGAGGAATGGGTGAGTCCAGGAACCAATGTGGGGGGCCCCTGACAGGGGGGTGGACATACCCTGAGAGCCCATAAAAGTTATCAACTGTGTCATCTTTATCTGAAAGCATAGAAAGAGGCATGACATGGTGGGGAATTCTGAATACACAGAGCAAAGCTGGAAATGGGGCAATAGGTGGATAGAGGGGTGGACAGGGGGGCAGTGGGGGGACAGAAGGGAGGACAGGGAGGCAGTGGGGAGATATAGAGAGTGGACTGGGGGGGGATGGAGGGGATAGAGAGGTGGACGAGAGAGTTGGGGGACAGAGGGTCAATGCTGGGGACCAGAGGAGCAATGGGGGGGAAAACATAGGATGGAGCAATTGGAGTTAGAGGGGGGGGCGGCAGTTGGAACACGTAGGGGGGATGCAGAGGAGTGGACAAGGAGCAGGGGGGAAAGGGGGGCATGGGGGGGGGACACGGAATGACAAGGGGGGATGTGGGCAGTGAGGGGATGGAGGGGAAGGACAGGGACAAAGTGGGGGGAAGGAGGGGGGCATTGGGGGGGGGGGACACGGATGATGACAAGGGGGTGGATGGATGTGGTGCAGTGTGGGGGGAGGGGAAGGGACAGGGGGACAAAGTGGTGAATTGAGGAGCAGTTGGGTTGGGGGGGTGGGATAGGGTGGGGATCAAAGACGGGTGGATGAAGGAAGACGGGTGGACTGAAGAGCAGGGGGGGGGGGGGAAGAACGGGTGGATGAGGAGCAGTGGGGGGACGGGGAAGAGGGGGGGGGGGGAGCAGTGGGGGGGAAATATTGGGAAGACGGGGTGGATGGGAGCAGTGGGGGGGGGGAGCCGTGGGGGGGAAGACGGGTGGATGAGGAGCAGTGGGGGGGGGGGGGATGAGGACGGGTGGATGAGAGCAGAGACAGATGGATGAGGATCCAGTGGGGGGGGGGGGGGAGGGAGGACGGGTGGAATGAGAGCAGTGGGGGAATAGATGGGTGAATGAGGAGCATAATGGGGACAGATGGTGAATGAGGAGCAGTAGGGGGACAGATGGGTGAATGAGGAGCAG